TGACAAATTAGCCTCGAAACACCACTGCACCATGTGACGGTCTATATTTTCCCTGACTGAAAACGTTAACATTGTTTATAACTCTTGCGATTTTGATGTGACAAATAGGGAGTTCAAAGGCGCAAGCCGATTTTTCCCTCAAATATACTGACTGACTGACCAAAAAGGAAGCCTGCAGACCAAGAAAACTACAAGAGCAACTCCTTTTACCATTAGGCGGCCTAATTAAACAGCCCTACCAATCAATCTTAGCAGAAATGAGGGAAAGTCGAAGTCAGTATTCTGCGAAGGTCCCGTTGAAAATTATTTAGGACGAACTGATCGTTGGATGGAATCCAGTTCATCCTAGCTTAAGGTCTAAGTTCTAAAAAACTGGGTTAAGGCGACAATACTTGGAGTGACCGGCAGGCAAAGCATAGGTAGACCTAACCTGACTCAAAGTACCCAGAAGATAATGGTCAAAATTACTTAAAAATATTTTGCAAGTGAGCCATCAAAATGATTATAATTCAAAACGCAAGAGTTCGGCCGTCCAGTTCAATTAGTACCATCGTCAGCTCTAAGGAATGACGGTGCAGGAAAAGTAACTCGCACTTGATTATAGAGAGAGAAGACGTGCACTACATCTACCTCATTCATTATTCTACCCCTTACGCGGACCGGGTGTCAGGGCAGAGTTAAAGTGACCGGAACTGGGAGAGGACCAACACACGCACTGTGAACCCCAACAGCCATCAAGACCACAGCAAATTTTGGATGCGGCTCGGATCTCAACTGAGCGAGAGAACCATGAATTACGCATTAAGAAAAAGCCATTGAACTCATATTCTCAATACGCCAGTCGGCCATTACACACGAGACCACACATTGGGTTAATCGCGCGCGCCAAATTATCCCACGGCTTTGAGCGCACGCTGATAGTTTTAAATGCTTCAGAATGTGAGAAAAGTGCACTGAGGCGTCGACCTCATTCTCTACCTCGCTTCTAACCTCACGCCACCGAGGCAGCCAGTTAAATGATGTGACGGGGTAATTCAAAACAGAACAGCAAATAGGTACACATGTAACGCGTCACGGATAGTGCTAGGAATCATATGTCGGAAGATACAATTTTGAAAACTTTGGGCAGCCAACACTGAAAAGAAACTGGATGAGATTTACTGTGCTTGAAATGCGAGGGACTATAGATGTAGATAATTTCTTTTTTGGCACAATCATGATATGGCCAAAACCGTGATAAAACTACGAAGGAGATCAGGGACTGCAAGAGTACACTGTAGCGCTTGGATTGTGTAGCCAATTTAAATTAATCCACAACGCTGACTGCCATTATCAGGTGACATCCCCTGCCCCTAAAGCTCAGAATCTGCCTAATTAATTCCACGTCTTGGTAGATTGTTAACAGTTTCGTATATAAGTGGCTTCGTGGACGAAAGGGCTAACATCTGCGTTCGTATCAGGCACCTAGTTCTCTTAAACATAAGCTTCAATTAAGGGTTTAAAAGCCAAGATTTCGAAGAAGTCCTTACCGCTTACTTAAAAAAGCACACACAATTTCAGAGTCTGCAAATT